AACATATAATTATGCATTTTTTGAGAAGCTTACTATTTTAATAAAACATAATGAACCTCTAAAATATTGTGTACCATACTTTCAGTGTATAGAATTTTAATTAAATAAAAATTGATTAATTTAAATAAATAATCCTATTGAGTGAAATAAGTAAAAAATCATATTAGCTTTCATGCAAAGTTGAGAAGATTTTACCAAAATTAATTTTTTTTGTCTGCTCTTAAAAATATTTAGTTCTTACTGAAACACAATTTTAATTTAGTGAAACCTATGCTCATTCATAATTAAAAAAATCTTTCAATTTTAGAAATTTAGAACCATAAAAATTGGTATTTTCTAACTACTTTATTTATTCTAAAAACTGCTATAATTTTTTAATACACCACTTATAATGAAATATTATCAGAATATAAATGAGTCAATAAGAATTTTTTTGATAAAATTTTTGTGAAAATTCAATAAAAAACATATGCGCAGGAAGTTTTTAAAAAGGGCACCCAAATATGTAAAAAATATTATTTTTTTTATCCAATTTTTAAAATAAGTGCGTTTTTCTAACCTTTGGCAAATTAATGCTCTGGAAATACACTATAATATAAAAAAAAAAAAAATTCCTGGTTATTGTTCTACTGTATGAAATTGGCAAGGTAAACAAGTTCTTAATTTTTTCAAAAAAGTACTTTATTTTCATTCAAGCAAATAATTTAACAAAAATTTAATTTTTGATTAAAATTTTAAAACATAGATATTAAAAAGTTACAAATTTATAAGCTAGTGTGAAATTTAACAAATTTGCATTGAAGTGTTTTTTATTGAAGCGATCTTAATCATTGTCTGATGTTATCTATACTTGTCCTAACTAATGCCGCGGCTCCATTGTGAAAATTTAATTATTAAAATATATAAAATTAAATAGATAGCAAAATATATCGGGTATAAAATTGACTTTTTTTGAATATGGTCATTACAATAATTTAATAATATTCAACATATTTTTTGGTATCAACGGTATTGATCAAATTATGTTATGAAATAGTAGAATTATCTTTGTCGGACTAAAACTATTTCAAATATATACATTCAAAAAAACAAATAAATATAATTAAAAATTTGTACATTTTTAATTCTATTTATTTAATGAATCATGTCACTAATGACTAAATAAACTCAATGAACGAAATAAACAATTGCTATGTTTAAAAAAGAATACAATAACAGAGGTAAATGAAAAAGGAAATACAAAGAAAAATGTATTAAAGATTAAAATAGAATTCATAAACAATTAAATATTACAAAAAATATAATTTTAGCGTGTATAGAAAAAAATATAAATTAATTATACCAAAAACACATACGTGTAATAAAATAAATAATAATAACACATATTCATTAAACACATGGACTTAAAATACAGTTCACAAAACAATAAAAAATGAATGGATAGATTTTTTTTTGATTTCTAGTAAAATTTCATACCTTCAGTCACAAAATATCTGCGTCAGATAACGTTATTTTTAAACGATTGAAATTTTAAAATGCTGTCAGTTGAGCAGCAAAATTTTTCCGATCTTCGTTAATAATTTTCTGAGAGTCACGTGACCGATTACTTTTGTTAAACATTATTTATTTTTAAATCTTACTTGCAATTTTATTAATTCTTATTTAAAAACTACTTACATGTTGGATCACAAATCAAAAAAAAATATCTTATTAAATACACACCTCCAAAAATTGAAAAAATTTCCCTAATTTCCTTTAAATGGAGTAAATCCCCCAAAAAATTACCATTTTAAAAATTGGTAATTGATGTCATTAATTGAAGTGTCATAAATTTGTAAAAAATGTAAATAAAAAGAAATTTTTATTTATACTTTGTATATTTATCTATCATTTGGTATATTTTTTTTTGAAAATCTAACCTTTTACATTTGAAGAGTTATCCTTTAAAATTTAACTTTTGAAAATGTTTTGGAAATAATTTTAGCTTCAATCATATGTTTAATTAAGATTATGTTACCTACGAAGTTAAACAAAAAATATTATTTTGGTCTAAAATTTACCGTATTTCGTGTTGATATAATTTTTAATTTTTTTTTTTTTTCAATTATTTATATCAATATTATAGGTCAAACGGTATAGTTACAGTAGGGGTTTAGTACCTTTATTTGCCCCTCCCACCATTATAGATAAGATTTAATGAGAATATACAGCTACTTCATAAATTTTTAATATTTGTTTATAAAAATTACAATAAAAAGTTATTGAATATTAATTTTTTTGGTAGGGTTTGAGGGTGTCACCAAAATGTAACGAGGTGAACCGGTAAAGGATTCAAATAGATCTTTCAATAATAAAATGAGCAATTAGAAGCTCTGATGGTTGATTTTATTAACACAATTAATACATGAACACAATAATATAGAGTAGTATAATTAGTATAGATGTAAATGAACAATCCTATGAGGTTTTGACAGTGTTTGGACGGATGCTCTTCTGGACTCAGAGTGACTTGTCTGTGTTGGTGGCACATGGTTCGGGCTGGCTGACTTAAGCCAATAAGGCTAAGTCAGCCAATTCCATAGTGCTCCACTGAGATCAATACCGATAACTGATGCTCTTATAACTAACAAAATAATTAACATATGTAAAAAAAAAGAACATAAAATATTAGAGTAATTCAAGGTTTTGTAAAAATAAACTACTATAATAAGTATTTATTTATATTTTATACTTATAAATCATAAAGAAATAAGAGTTAATGTTGCTCTTGAATTATCAACAGTATTTACAAATTTGCTTCGAAGTATTTTTTATGATAGCGATTGTAATCACTTTTATAGATATCATCTATAATTAACTCAACTATGTCGTTACCCCCACTGTGTTATCTTTTTTTTTTTTTTTTTAAGGATTATATTTAATTTAAAATATTTTAATGATCTTATAACAGATTTAAAAAATAAAATTCTACAAGTGGCTTAAAAATATACATTGTTTTATATCTGACATACTTGTCTTAAAATTTGTGAAATTTTTATGAATATATGAAAAATGATGATTGAGCTTAACCAAATTTATTACAAGAAAAGTAAACATTTGCCATATATTTAGGATGTATATACTTAGAATAATCATTATTCATAAGCAACGAATATCAAATATATTATGAGTTTTTAATTTTTTAAGTTTTGTAGCTTTAGACTTGTGTAATATTACTTTAAGTAAATTATTTATATTTAAATTTATAAAAAAAATTTAAATTGCTCAAGCTTATAATACATTATATATAATTTACTTATTTTAAGTAAAATCAATTTTATATAAAACAGCTTTCAGTTATATGAAACGATTTCTTTGCAAATAATATTATATTGAAAAAATAAAATCGTATTTCTGAGTGTTATGAACTGATTTAAAAATATGAACATTTTTAGAAATATGAAATATTTCCAAACACTTTTTGAACTTTGTGATTTATGATTTCTATTTTAAGGCCTCTATTTATATAGTTAATATATATCTGTAATGATTGAGGAATTTTACTGTTAACTATATTATATTTTATTAAATAATAAAAAAATGAGATATAACTACATTTTTTATTTTATTAATAATAAATTTACTTATTTATTATAATCATAAACGGGTGTAAACTCTTAAATGGAAATAGAATAAATTTAAATTAATTGTACATTAAATTTAAAAACATCTCTATACATAGAAAAAATCAACATACATCAAAATACTATTTGCTAAAGTTAAGACGCGTGGAAAATTATATGCAGAGCAATAATTTGTGATACAAATAGAAACATAAAATAATTTTTCCTCTCTTGTATATTCAATTACCTATTATAAATTCCATCTTTTAGTTTATTTATCATAGGATAAGTTATGTAGTAGAATATATTTTGACCGTTTTCCTTAGCAATCCTTAGTAGACGTTTTATGACTAATTATAAATTTAAACGCATCGAAGCTAAAGTTGGACAAAAATAACACCCCATAAAATATCGTAGATGTATAGACTTTAACAATTCATATTATATTCATAGTTAATCACACATATTTACTTTTGTACATTTTATGTAGGAATATCCTATATTCAAAACTAATTCCTATATGTTATTGAACTATGCTCATTTAATAACAGACCCTATCTTACAAGTATTTTCATCATGAGTTGAGGTTATTTTAAAATTAATTTATTGTTTTATCTTTTTAAACGCTATGTAAAATATTTTTATTTGTGTGATAGATAATGGCGATGACTGTTATTTTTTGATATTGTAAACATAACACTCAGTTTATGATAATATTATGGTTTATAAGCTTTAAAGGACTTAATATTTAAATTACTAAAAGTAATTTTTTTTTATTTGTCTATGAGATACTTTGTATAATAATTATAAACCTAAATAAATGATACGGTTTCATATAAAAATCAAGTATATTGATATACTTCAAGTTTACTACAATACATTCTATATCTAAAATAGATCTGTCGTTGAAAAACATAATAAAAATCATATTTTTAGTTTGAATTTATAAAAGAATGATAGTTTTCATTTAAAAGTGAAGGTAACTGATGTATAATGTGAGAAATATTGTTTTTATTGTACAAGTTAAAAAATATAATGATTCAAAATTTGAGTCATTCACTTTTCCTGCTCATAGCATTTTTATTCTATAAATAACGCCTTTGTACGTTTTTATTTTTATATAAACTATATTTCATTAGACTTATTAAGTATTTTTAAACAATTTTTAGAACATTTTATTCAGCGTTTAATTTTAAGTGGCTATTGTTATTTAAAAATCTGTTATCATTGTGTCGTCCATAATTTAATACTTTTATTGGTAAATCAATTCACCGATTTGTAAAATGACAGTCCCTCGCGCTTAAAATATTTAGATTATTTTAATCGGTACTTAAGATGTAACACGTTGTGCAAACTTAAACGTTTGATTTATGTCTGTTCGTTTTTGTTGTTATCAAGATGTTGGTTTGAACATTGCTCACTCCTCGGGCGAGTTTTTCCCTCGACCCAGCACGTTCCTGGACCCTAATAATGGATATGAACGGTGGCGGGACAAGCAGCAATGGAAAAACCAGAACGTGGCGCAGACTAAGTCTGAAACAATACAAACGAGCACCTACTCAAGAAATCGAAGTAAGCAGTTTTTTACCATAATATAGTCAATTTGTTATTATTAACACTAATTTATTGGAATAGAAGTAAATTCATATTACAATTACGTGTATCGTTTATTTTATAAGTATTTACACGTCAGTTAATTTGAGAACCACAATTCGGACACAGGCGGTATATAATGTTAATTTACTTTACATTTTTAATAGATCACTAACTTCTTGTGCCTATATTTATATTTAGAAAGCTAAGAGGGGTTAGCATATCACGAAGAGAAATTACACATCAAAATAATTATATAGTGCCATTATATATCTCTAATTAAATAAACTCTTAAAAAAAATAGAATTTGTTAAGATATTTAAACTTTATTTTTATTGTTTCCTATTGTCAAACATTCTACATACGTGTATATACTTAGAAATGCATAAAAATATTATTAAGACCAATTCATAGTAATCAATGTTTTAATAATAAATTTTTTTATCAAATGAGAGTAATTTGAATTTATAATATTCTTTTTAGTTCTATAAATATTAAGGTTTTCCTTAATAATTTTCTAGCAATATAGTTTAGTTTAGTACGTTAGAGAACTTAAATTTACAAATGGCAGATTTTCTAGTTGTGTAAAGAATACTGCAAAAGAGATTGTTGGTGAGAGTAGGAGTAGAATGCCAGGAAACAAGGAAACCTGGTGGTGGGATGAGGACGTTCAAAAAATCATAGAAAGTAAGAAAAAGCAATTCAAAGTATGGTAGAAGAGCAAAAGAGAGAAAACTGGATGCAGTATAAACGTTTGTGCAAAGAAGCCAAGTATGCAGTAAGTAAGGCGAAGTTTAAGAGGTATGATGAGTTGTTTGATAGGCTAGGAATAAAGGAAGGCGAGAAAGAAATCTATAGACTTGCAAAAGTAAGAGAGAAAAAGTCTAAAGATTATCATTATATAAGGTGTATAAAAAATGCTGATAATAGGGAACTCTCGAGTGATGACGAAGTGAAAAATAGGTGGAAAGGTATTTTGAAAAATTACTGAATGAGGAGTATACAAAAGAGACGTTAAAGGATATCTTATGGAATAAAAGGGACTGGTAGATTTAATTATTGAGAAAGAGGTATCGGAAGCTGTGGTATCAATGAAAAAGAATAAAGCAGTGGGACCAGATGAAATGCCAGTGGAAGTATGGGAAATATTAGGCGGTGTTGGCATAAGGTGGTTGAAGGAACTTTTAAATAAAATCTTATTAGAAGGGAAAATACCAAATGAATGGAGGAATAGTATTGTGGTGCCGATATTTAAAGGTAAAGAAGACATACAGGAGTGTGGCTGGGTTGACAAAAGAGAACATGAAGTAGGTGAAATGAAGAGATCAGTGACAATAAGCGAGAGTGTGAATGGTGAGATAGAAAGTTTTAAGTATTTAGGATGAGTAGTGCAAAAGAGCGGTGGTATTGACGAGAATGTAAGACACAAGTTTATGGGCGGGTGGTTGAAGTGGAGAGAAGCGTCTGGTGTCTTGTGCAATAAAAGAATTACAATGAGGCTAAAAGGTAAATTCTACAAAATTGTAGTGAGACCAGCTATGATGTATGGTTCAGAGTGTTGGGCAGTTGATAGGAAAGTAGAGCAGAGAATGAATGTAGCAGAGATGAAAATGCTTAGTAGGATGAGTGGAGTGACTAGAAAAGATAGAATAAAGAACGAGTATATAAGAGGGAGAATAGGTGTAGCGTCAATTGTGGATAAGATGAGAGAAAATAGACTTAGATATTTTGGTCATGTTATGAGGAGAGAAGAATCGGAAGCTGTAAGAACAGTTATAGAAATGAATGTTGAAGGAAGAAGAGATAGAAGAAGACCAAAAAAGAGATGGAGGGATGCTATTGAATGCGATTTGAGGACAGCTGATGTGAGCGTAAATGATATGGGAGATCGTGTCAAGTGGGAGTATAGGATAAGGGTGGCCAACCCCACGTAGTTGGGATTAAGTCAAGGAAAAAGAAGAAGAGAACTTAAATAATAAGTTAAGCATATTTCAATAACTTTATAAAAAATCAATTAAATTGTAATTAACTTTTTTTTTATGTTTTGGAAGTTCTAATTAAAAAATTGTAAGTAGTATATTTTAAAACAGTAAAATGTATATTAGTAAAGAAAATTGAGGTTTTGGTTTGAAAAAAACTTTTTCCATGTAGTTGTAAAACTAAATTTTCAATTTAAAAATCCGACTATGAAAACAAAAAAAAGAAAAAATTAACAAATATTGAATGATTTACATACCTAACGCGTAGAAATAGTATTCGTAACATTTGAACTAGTAATTATGAGCAGCAAATGAAAAAAATTATTCAGGCTTTATTTTATGGAAAAACTAAGTTAATCATTTATGTCCTAAGAAAAAAATAAATAGAGTTGAATTTTAATACATTGTTTTAGAAAAATTATGTGAATTATCTAAATGGAATTGAATATTAATATATTAATTAATACTTTTTGTGCTTAGGATGTAATCTCATGATTCTTAAAAACTATAAGATTATAATCATAAAATTTTTACTAACTTGGGTGTAAATTTTATCTGTTTAGACAATAAAATACACTTTTGTAATATATATTTTGTATTATATAGTTAATACGTATTACATTTATGTACGTAAGAAATAAATTATTTTTTTATTTATTTTTACATTTTATAGTATGTAAACTATAAGTTTTGTATGACAGATTTAAAAAAGATTTTTTTGGATATTATCTAAAATTATTTAATTCTTTTTAGTTTTCTCTACAAAATAATCAATTTGAGTAATATTTATTTATATATTTGAGATACAGACAACCAAAAGGTTCTATGTAGGAATAAATTAAAGATTAACTATCTTCTGATAGAACTTATTGTTGTCATATTTTTTTTATTAAGAGTTTGTGGTTTAAATTTTTTTTTTTTTTGATACAGAATTAATGAAGTTTGTTTTTGTGGATAACACCACATATTACTTCTCTACCATAGATATAATATAGTATCATACTCTTCTCCAAGAATTATTTAATTGTGTAAATACTCAATCAATTAAATATCAATAGTAGTATGATATTGATATTTCTATTTTCAAAGTTTGTATGGCATTCAACATTTTTTCAATATTTTTAATATTAAAAAGTTTTATTTATTAAATATAGATAATATTAAGTACTAAAGAAGGATTTTATTTTTAAAACCTTATTTCTCTGTAATCAAATTTTTGAACTCTTTTATTTTTCACAAATTTAGTTGTGTTTTGATAGTTAAAATATTTATATTATTCATACATTTTAGTTTTTACAAATAAGATTGTTATTATAGCATGATAGATAAGAAAACGTGAGCGTACAAACGTTCTTCAGTGTAAAGACATGAAATGTTGTTTAGAACTTTATGGTTTTAATATCGCCATTTTCCAAAAATTTCAAAGATGCATACAAAATTTTTCATAAAAATTATGCAAATTTTGTTAATTATTTATAGTTATTTGACTAGAAATGATCATTTTTATTGTTGCTGTTTTAAAGTTTTATTGAAAATAATAAAACAAATAATAATAAAAGCATTTTGATTTTAGTATTAAAAAAAGTGTTCATTTTATCATTTATTTACTTTTACAAAATATACTTTCATTAAATTATGTTTAATTTAATAATTAAAACTTTTCATAATATTGAAAGTTCAAATAAAGTTATCAATAACTTAATTATTATTAAAGTAAAACTTCGAATCCTTCTAATCAATTAACAAATAGTTAAAACTCGAGTTCTAAAAATATATTTATGTTTTCTTACTAAAATAATATTTTACAAATTAGTTTTCAATAATTAACATAAAATAAAAATTTTATATAAATAATAAGTTCCAACATTTTTTAAAATGTTATTTATACTGGTGATTATATTTGAACTTGTGTTCAAGTATTTATAAAAGAAAATTCTAAGAATCTTGAATATTTGAAATTCACTACGCTTTGGATACACACAAACAAAAATAACATTATATTCAATAAAAATCTATATGAATTAAACACAAATTGTATTGCTATTATAAATATATATATTTTATCGACATACCAATACAAAGTGTTACAGTTATAATTGTAATCTTTTTAATAACAATTTTGTAATTATGAAAAAAAATTATTTTATTAAATAATTGTAGGCGCATTTTACATTAATAATAAAATAATATTTGCTAAACTAATAATTTTCTTGTCTCAACAAATTAAACAATTTGCATAACAATCATTTGTTCACATATTAAATTGTATAATTAATTTAGTTACAAGTTATCATCTTTATAAACTAGATTTATTGAAAACATTTATAAAATTAAAAAATTTATATCAAAGCAATAATTAGTTTTAATGAAGTTTTATTTGTTTTGGATGTTTTAAAACAGTTTTATCAAAAGTTTATAAATAAAGTTTATTAAAATCGATTGTTTCATTCATTGGGATGTAAATTAAAACTATATTATAAAATATATTCAAATTAAAAATAAAAAAATCCGCTACAAAATATAATGGATGCTATGGTTAAAAAGGGTGAATTTATTACTGGGTCAGAATGTGAATGAAATTGATATTAATATCTTTACATGTTTTATGTTATAATACTTCTCAAGTATATTCGTAATTACCTTTAAAACACAATAATAATTTATTATTAAGTAGTAAACCGTGTATTATTATATTCATTTTGTTTTATAATAATGGACTTATATTACAATGAGCCGTTAATACAACTAAAGTTAAAAGATAATGAGCAAGTTAATGGTTTTCATATATAAATTATTTTAAAAAAATTGCAGGTATGTTGCTAGTATATATTCATTTCACTAGTTTTAGGTGGTTCTAAAAGATTTTAGCTAAAGATGTAAATTTTAGAAAAGCTATATTATAAATTATGAGGATTTAAATTTTTAATAAGAATCTCAAGATATAAGAGATTTATTAATAAATAGGTTTTTTTAATACAAATTCTTCAAATTATTCGGTCT